TGTCATGGTATTCAAAATTCTTTAATTAGCTAGAATATGCGTGAATTAGCTTCACGCATATTCTATTTTCTTTACTTGTAGTTTGTCTTATTCCCATCCCTCCCACCTATATCACACTCCAATTTTGTGTCATAGGTCCGCGCAATCTAAAATTTCACTCTATCAATTTTCATAACGCGCCTAAAGAAGTACAACTTTAAAAATATTCGACTTTTTGTTCCTCCCATACAAAACGCCAATTTCATATTATGTAAGGACCTAATATTTTTCGTGTAACGTATGACAAAAAGCTTTATCAAATAATATGGCTTTCTGATCTTAACAATAATTAGTTATTTTCAGCCCAACCTGGACTTCCAAACTAGCTCAATAGAGGCATTTTGGCGAAGGCCCAATGTTCCATGAATCCCCAAATCTAAAATATCAATGGATTATTATAGCATGGTCCGAAAACACATTGTTGAAGAGGTCGATCTCATCTGCCGAAATAAACGCGCCCAAACCGGGTTTAAAATAAAATATGATATTTTAAGGAATAGTGTGTTCTTGTCTTGGTTATAATATAAAATCAATTAAGTGAATATTAAACATAGTTTTAATTGTATGAAGCTTTTCTCTCAAATCTCTGGCGATATCCGCGCGAGGTGTAGTGAAAAGTTTGTGATTTGGAGAAAACTAATTAGTGCTAGGGCTAATGGATACTATTTGTTGTGTAACAACTGAATAAAGTAAAAGACCAACTCACAAAATTTGGCATTTTAGTATCAAATAATAATATCACATCTACCTTCATAAAATTGCTGACCGTCCAAGTCAAGTGACATAGACAAGTTGAATAAAGTTCCCCTAGAGATTTGTGTTACCCTAACCAAAACTTTAAAAAGTCCCAATATTTCTGTGTTTTAAATTTCAATAAAAATGGTCGATAAAAACGTTAAGATAGCTTGCAAAGGGCCAATTGATTTGTAATAAATCTAATCCTTCGACTTTTTTCGAGACGCACAAACTATCTATTCTTTGTGCCGAGTGAGAGGCAGGTACCGGAGGAGGAAGGTTGCATTCGCAATATTATTGAGCTTGACACACCGGAATCAAAACCCCGTTCTCCAGATGATAGAAAGGTTCACGACTAATTTAAGATAACTGAACCATTCAATTCAATACCACTCCCTGACCCGAAGATGGTCAACGGTAACAAGCTGTATACGCTTAGAAAAACGGGCCTTCGATAACGCCTCTCAGCCACGTTCGATAAAGCGAACAAAACACAATGATAATACTGTTACGAGCTAGGGGATCGGATAGAAACGTCGTAAATCTCTTCAAGGGTTTATTTTCAATTAAATCTACGAGGAATTTGTTAACACTATAAACTTGAAATTACGCACAAAAATTCACTAAATACACACACAAAATACTGTCACTAATTACTCTAATATCCCACTTCTGACACCAAAATGTTACGAGCTAGGGGATCGGATAGAAACGCCGTAAATCTCTTCAAGGGTTTCCTTACAGTCCTCAAGTATTGCTTGAACTATATCTCGTTGTTTACTAACTGTACCATCTTCAATGATAGCTCTATACACGTCGTACCCGTTCTTCAATGTGTTATCTTTTAGGGAAACTACTTCATCTCTACACTTGAATGTGCCGTTCTTCAGGTCAATCTTACAGTTGTAATGCTTCATGAAGTCTAAACCGATAATACAGTCATCCACGATGTCAGCAATAACCACCTCATGTCTGTATGTTCTTCCACCAATCTTGAAGGTAGCGATACCTTCTCCTCGAACGGTTATGTGCTGACCAGTAGCTGTAAGGAGCTGTACATTTCCACCAGAAAGGCTCTTGTAAAATGACTTCAGAAGTTGGTATCTGATTACTGTCCGGGAAGCTCCAGTATCAAGGGTTAACTCACACCTAGTGCCGTTAACTTCTCCGTCGATGACAATGGTATTCCCATCCTGAGTTTGAGAGATCATAACTTTTGGGGCCTTCCTTACAGAACCGGCCAGCACCCGCCCCGTGGTCCTGGCTTCTATTCGTTTCCCTGCCGCTGTTCAGCGGCAGTCACATCCACGTCATCGGGCTCCCCACGTCTTGTCTTCATTTCACCTCGGAGATCTCTCTTAGGGCATGAAAACCTCATATGCCCTACTTCCCCGCAGAGGTAACAGGTGGGTCCACGTTGGGAACTACGTTTTTCCGAGACAGCCCTAATGCGGTTAGGTCGAGAATCCTTGCAAAATGCTTCCACTTCCAACGCATGAGCAAGAGCATTCTTGAGGTCCTTATGGTGACCTAGGTTCACAGCCATTCGAATTTCACGGTCTCGAATACCGTCGACGAAGGCTTGAACCAACATCTTGTCTGCAACGTCTGGTGAGGATGCATAGGCTTTCCTAACCAGCTTCTCTATTTCACATCCCCATTTTTGCAAACTTTCATTTGTCTGCTGTATTCTATCCTTTAATTGAGCCCTATAGACGTGCTCTAAATGTGCGTCTCCGTACCGTGATTCTAGGGCATCCAGCAGTTGCTTCAACGTCACTTTACCTGTCTTGGTATCTAATATGGTGAGGGCTTCATCTCGCAGTCCCATAATAAGAGCGGTGACAGCCTGATCGTCATTCCACCCGTTTGACTCTGCCACAGTCTCAAACTGTATTTTGTACGCGCCCCAGGAAGATGTACCGTCAAAGGGAGGTACTTTCAGATTTCCAGATGGTGCTACAGTCGTTATGACACCTTTGGTCTTCAGGCACTGCATCTCTTGTTCTAATCCGAGAATACGTTTGTCCTGTTTCGAAAATTTGCAGTCCATATCAGATTCCAAGTTCTCGATTTTTTTATCTACTTCTTGTTTTAGATCTCCTAATATTTCTCCGATACGGCAAGCCTGTTCCTCCATCAAACGACGTGTCTGAGCCTGCTCTTCCACGATTTGGCGTGCCTGTTCCTCTTGACGGCGAGCCTGTTCCTCCATCAATCGCCGAACCTGTTCCTCCTGATGACGGGCCTGTTCCTCTTGACGTCGTGCCTGTTCCTCTTGACGTCGTGCCTGTTCCTCTTGACGTCGTGCCTGTTCTTCCATCATTTGTCGTGCCTGTTCCTCTTGACGACGTGCCTGTTCATCCATCATACGACGTGTCTGAGCCTGTTCTTCCATCATTTGGCGCAGGGCAAGGAGGATGTTGCTATCGTTGCTTTCGCCCATCCCGCGGTTCGCATCGAAACTTTGTCGCCGGGCGGCGTCGCGTGCTGATTGTGCCCTTGTCTGCACTCCCTCCGCAGCTGGAGACTCGGCCACAAACTCCTCTTGATTCTCCCTCGGAGTAATTGGCATTTTTCTATCCCACTTCTGACACCAAAATGTTACGAGCTAGGGGATCGGATAGAAACGCCGTAAATCTCTTCAAGGGTTTATTTTCAATTAAATCTACGAGGAATTTGTTAACACTATAAACTTGAAATTACGCACAAAAATTCACTAAATACACACACAAAATACTGTCACTAATTACTCTAATATCGCGCACTTCACACAGTACTTGTATTCACTTTTCTTCACTATATTCGCACTTTGTCACTCCGGTGTTTATCGCTTGGTATCGCATTCAAAACTGAACTAACTGGTCGCGTTTCGGCTCGCTTATATATCCCTGGGAGCGATGTTCGAGAACTCTCTAGGCGGCAGTGCAACTGAGTAGCGATCGCACAATTCTAGAACGTGCGTACTAGCTATCCCTTTCGCACATTGCTCCGTCCTTGTCGTACGGCGTTCTAGAGTGCTCGGTCTAGCTTCGAGAAGGTTCCGATCTTCCCTCGCTCTCGCGTATCATTCCGTCCTTGTCCCACACCTAGAAAATTCGTTCTAGAACATTCCTTCATCAAAGGGGTATAACCAGGCCTGAAAACGCCTGAAAACGGGTTTCCTGAAAAGTGTACCATTCGACTACACGTGTTCTGAAACGGCCTGAAAAAATGTTTCAGGCTCCTGAAAACTAGGGTAACATTATGTAAATTGCGATTTTCTAATATGTGATTGACCCTCCCCTGAAACGGTCAGAAATCACATTTCAGCCTGCTGAAAAGTTATCTAAGTAGTGGAAAAATCTAAAAACATTGCAGTCGACCCGTCTTCGTAACAATACGATGAAAATGCGTTTATAAGGCTAATTAAGATACAACTCATTACTTAGAACTGTTCCTTTTATTGATCAACAAATTATTTAGCGTGAGTATGCTATTACAAGCAAACTGTAAAATGCTACCCCTTGCTTCCCCAGACTTTCAGCTGCTCTCAGTCTCTTCTTACTCCTCTTATGGAGTCGTTTTGTTATTTATAGCAGCAGCATGTAAATTAAAATCTTCTGCAATAATTGAAAGAGGCAATTCATCTTTGTTTTCTGTTGCGATGTTAATTTTATTACTAGCAATGGAGGCATTTAAACGGTTATCGTTATAGTTTTTTATTTCTTTCCGTATGATATATTTGCTTAGCAAATAGAACATTTTGTCGTCTTACAAGTGTTCCAAGTGATCTTTATAGTTACAGGGATTTTCAAATATAACAACGCTGCGGTTGCATTTATTCGTCGCCCGGAGATACCCTTGTTCATCGATGAGATTAACATTTCTGATATTACTGCCACTACTACAACCAATCTGGTTTATTAATTTCAAATTTAATGACGTGGAATAGGTGATACCTGTATCTTATATTCCATAATAAACATATTTTATTTTATTAAATATTTATCCTACGAAATCCCGTCTTGTTACGCTTGGGGGTTGATCTCGAAAAATTACACGAGATCTCTGAGATCTCTCGATGATTGCATTCCCTACCCTCTACCTTGTTCGACAAGAATGTCATCTTATAATAACATTAGTCAATATTTGTAAATGTGTTATATATTTAGCTATGATTATCATTTACTAAGATGGAATTCTTACTTGTTTCTTTCTACACAAGTATAGGTAAGAAGACATATCTAAAAATGAGTGTAGTCTTCCTCTGGCAAGGGCAGATTGTAAGTACTATAAGAGTTGACAGCTCTCTGCACTTCTCTAGCTACATTTGCATCCATCTTATAGAGAGCTGCAATTATTGGCCTCATCCTATTTATCTGTAAACATAATGATACTTATAAGATAAATAACATTTATTATAAGAGGAGCTAGCAAAGGGCACCATCAACTGACCCTTTACATGTGTCAAGTTGGGCTAAGAGTAGTCATCAAAGCTCTGCTAAGGAAGAGAAAGCTAGTCTTGCTCTTCTATTAAAAGAATCAGTGAAACAATACTTTTGATGCCAGCTCTGTTTACTTCAATTGTTAATAAGAAAGAAGTAATGAATAATAAAATAATGTACAATCACTTTTTGGTTTGTTCAATACTAATCACTTTCTGGCAATAGTGTGACTAATATTTCCACTTCATTTTAATTAAGTCTAAAGAACTATGTATTTACTCTATGTCTACTATGGCTTTGAGTGTTTTTAAAGGGTTATCATTATATTAGCATTTGACCTAGAACTTCTGATCTCATAATTTAAAATTGGAAAAATATATTCTTTTTACCATGTGCTGAACATCCCTGATTCTCTTTATTTCATATATAAGACTTTTGATCAGGAAACCAATGTACACAATAATAAGTATTATTAAAAGACCCAGTTTTAATTTGTCTAGCCAACCAAATTTTGCGTTACCCTGTAATTAAAACAAATAGTAATAAAGACACAGCTAAAAAAAAGTTTATTATTTATCAGAATGCCAAATCGTAAAATGACTGATTTGAGAGCGACCGCCGCTGTGAGAGTTCGAAAAGTGAGTTACAGAATCGCAAGGCAGTAATAAAATATTGGCATCAGTGCAGCAAGTTAAAAATACCAAAAAGATAACACAGAAAGGACAAAAATTAGAATTTTGTATTTTATGAAGATGCTGCATGGAAACAATATAATTATACAACATACGTAAACACCTTGCTGTATTAAACATGTGTTTGTCTTTTGTGTAATCAGACTTAGCTATGTGGCATATAATTAGACTACTAAACTGATTTGATGTGTAGAAGTAGATTTAGCTCTTTCCTTCATGTGTCAAATAAATATGTTAACTCTGCCGCACTAAATAAAAAGATGCCAATCCATGTCTGGAGCTAAAATGGTCATGAGTTTTAACAACCCTTTTTGCCCCAGATCTCATCGGTCTCTTGAATATTATGTACTCGTCGTTAACGATCACTAAGCACGAAAGCGAGAATAAAAGCTATATAAATTAAATAAAACTTACAAGTTGTAATGGAGACAGATCATTTATATCAGAAGAATTTAAGTTCTGGTTCCCTGTCTTATTTATTTGTAATGCGTTAAGATTCTTTTCAATAATAATTTTTTCGGGTGGGTTTTTTAAACCATCCGTTATTTCATCGACATTCAAAATATGCCTTAATTCCTTATTAAGAGGACCTTTCTTATTAAATTCCAATCTCATTTTAACGAGAGGTATTTCAATTTAACATAACGATCTTTGCAAGAATCTGTTAATTACATATAATACAGTTACAATTATGTATGTTTATTCAATATTTATGATACCTAATATTTGTGTTTTTGTTGTTTTTTAAATACTTTATAGCCAGGGGCTTGAGACAAAATCACTTTTTGACAGGGGTGACTCACTAGCGCCAAACGAATTTGTATGAAAAGGGTCATGTGACAAAATTGAAAAAATAAGTTTGCCTCAAGCCTCGTAACAAGTTTTATTTGATAACATTCGGTCCTTACATGTGAAATTGTTTTTTAATGTTTGACAGAGTATATTTAATTAATCAAAGTATGTACCATAACCATAGCCATCTACGCACTTTTGCCTTTTTATAGGTAGTTCGTTAATCATTGGTCACTTTACTAAGAACTCCATAAAATCTTTGAAGGCGGTTTCGTCTGCCCCATCAGAGTTGATTTTTTTTCCCTCGCAAGAAACTTCTTGGATAACTATCCAAATTACGAAACAAATGGTAATCTGTTAAAGCAAAGTCCGGGAAATACGGCGGATGTCATAAGTCGAGCGGGCCGGATGGTATCCCCCAATTGTGCTGCGTACTTGTGCTCCTGAGTTGGCTCCGGTCTTAACGCGCCTTTTCCGGTACCTGTACTCGCTCGGCACTGTCCCGAAGTGCTGGAAGACCACTTCGATACATCCGATCCCTAAAAAAGGCGATCGCTCTGATCCGTCCAACTATCGCCCAATAGCTATAACCTCCTTGTTCTCCAAAATAATGGAAACCATTATTAATAGCCAGCTCTTGAGGTATCTAGAGGGCCACCAGTTGATTAGCGATTCTCAATACGGCTTTCGTCGTGGTTGCTCGGCTGGTGACCTCCTTGTATACCTTACCCATAGGTGGGCAGAGACAATTGAGTCCAAGGGGGAGGCGCTGGCGGTAAGTTTGGACATAGCGAAAGCCTTCGATCGGGTGTGGCACAGAGCACTGCTCTCGAAGCTTCCAGCCTATGGGCTTCCCGAGAAATTATGCGATTGGATCTCCAGCTTTCTGGCCGATCGGAGCATCAAGGTCGTCATCGACGGAGCATGTTCCGACCTTAAACCCGTGAACGCTGGGGTCCCACAAGGCTGTGTTCTATCCCCGACCCTATTTCTTCTGCATATCAATGATATGTTGCAACTTAGCAACATTCATTGCTATGCGGATGACAGCACTGGGGATATTCTTTACACTGGCCGGGCAGGTATTTCTCGGGCAGTTGTTGATTACCGGAACAAACTTGTGTCTGAAGTCGAAACTCTACTACGTGGAGTCTCAGACTGGGGCAGACAAAACCTAGTCCAATTTAACCCCAAGTTTGCGCGTTTTCCGCAAAAAAAACACCCTCAACAAAAAATTAGCCTCCAAAAAGCTTGGTGTGCCCAGCAAGGCCAGGCGGTACTTCACTCCGGGCCACCGCATGCAACTATATAAAGCGCAAATTCGGCCCCACATGGAGTACTGCTCTCACCTCTGGGAGGGGGGGCTCCCCAGTACCAGCTCCTTCCACTTGACCGTTTACAACGCAGAGCGGTTCGAATCGTCGACGACCAATCCCTCTCCGAGCGGCTTGATCCTTTGGCGTTGCGTAGAGATGTGGGGTCTCTCTGCATCTTCTACCGCATTTATGGAGAGTGTTCAGAGGAGTTGTTCGGATTAATACCTGCAGCTGAGTTTCATCATCGGACGTCGAGACAGAACACGAAATTCCACCCGTATCACCTCGACGTCCGCCGTTCCACAACTGAGCGTTTTTCAAGGCAGTTTTTGCCGCGCACCACCACTATGTGGAACTAGCTGCCCACTGAAGTATTTCCGAACTAATTCGACTTCGGGTCCTTCAAGAAAAGAGCGTACCAATTCTTAAAAGGCCGGCAACGCACTCGCGAGCCCTCTGGCATTGAGAGTGTCCATGGGCGGCGGTATCACTTAACATCAGGTGAGCCTCCTGCCCGTTTGCCCCCTGTTCTATAAAAAAAAAAGTCTCCGCTGTCCACGAGGCTTGTTCTCAAGGTCGAAATTTCCAGAAGGTAAACGTTTGAACCAAAAACGCACTGTGTTTTCTTGTGCGATGCCGCCACCATACACATTATTATTAATTTAGCCGTTTCTGCTGAACTGGTGCCATGGTGGATGCGGTTATTTGTGGTAAATATTGCGATATTCGATGTTTTCCATTTATAAGTAGAGTAATGCAATAAAAAAAAACGGTTTTCGAAAAAATTTGTAAATAGCTATAAAAAATGGAATTTAAAAAATAAATAAATTTAAGAACGGCTCTATCATATACCTACCAGAAACGTGGAGTTTATAAAAAGTTATGCTCGTTTTCAGCAGGCTGAACCACTTTATCAGGTTATTTCAGAGTATGTATTATAGCCACATGGTAAAGTTTTCAGGAAACCCGTAATCAGGTATTTTCGGGACTGGTTATACCCCTTTCATGAAGGATTATTTGATAGTGAACTTTCTAGGTAAGGGACAAGGACGGAATGATAAGCGAAAGAGAAGGAAGATCAGAAACTTCTCGAAGCCATCATGAACGTTCTAGAACACCGTTCGACAAAGACGGAGTGATAAAGAGCACGTACGTTCTATAATTGTGGGATAAGGATGGGTACACAGTAACACTCCTGCCCATAATGTCCTTCATGATTATTATTATTCCGCGTAATTTGTGGATTTTTAGTGCAATTAAATTCTTCGAAGTAGATTTACGGCGTTTTCTATTTGTTCCCCTAGACACCTATTTGTCTAAGATTCTTACTACTTTACATTAATGAAGGTATCCCATTAAAGCAGTAAGCTAACTTTTTCGACTTCTAAAGTTACTTACTATCGATTGTGGAGTCTTTCCGGACGAAATGAAATTAAGTAAGATTACACCGTTGTTCAAGGCAGGTAGTGAGTCTGATCCGTCAAACTTCAGACCTGTTTCCGTGCTCCCTGCGTTGAGCAAAGTTTTTGAAAAGATAATGCTGGACCAGCTTTCTTTTCATTTTAATAAAAATAAACTCTTACATAATAAACAGTATGGTTTCACTAAGGGTCGCTCCACAATCGATGCCGGTGTGAAGTTGATTTCGGACATATTTAACGCCTGGGAAGAATCATATGATGGAGTCGGCGTCTTTTGTGACCTGTCAAAGGCCTTTGACTGTGTTCATCCTGATATACTCGTTGGAAAGCTTCAACACTATGGCGTTGATGGCAAAGCTTCCAGCCTGATGAATTCATATTTAAAGGGAAGGATCCAAAGAGTTCATGTCAATGGAGTCACCTCTCCGGGTTCGCAGGTATCAATGGGCGTCCCCCAAGGATCGATTCTCGGGCCTTTCTTATTTCTGATTTACATAAATGATCTCCCATTCTTTGTCAACGAAGTTCATGAGATGGTATTGTTTGCTGATGACACTTCACTTCTATTTAAAGTGAATAGGAATAACGTATTATTGGACGATGTAAACAATTCTATCTCTCGTATAGTTAACTGGTTTAATGTAAATAACTTACTGCTTAATAAGAATAAAACAAAATGTATTAGATTTACAACTACTAGCGTAAAGCGAGATATTGGTAACCTGAAAATTAAGGACAGTGAACTAAACTTTGTTGACAAAACTGTTTTTCTAGGCATAACAATAGATAGTAAACTCCAATGGGGCCCACACATAGAGACTCTTTCGAATAGGCTGAGCTCTGCAGCATATGCAGTAAAGAAAATCCGACAGTTTACTGATAAGGACACGGCTAAAATAGTATATCATAGCTACTTCCACAGCGTTATGTCGTACGGTATTTTACTGTGGGGTGCTGCTGCAGAGGTTCAATCCATATTTGTGCTGCAGAAGCGGGCTGTTCGGGGTATTTGTTGTGTTTCTCCGAGGGAGTCGGTACGGAATAAGTTTAAGGAATTAAATATTATGACACTATCTGGTCAATATATTCTTGAAGCCTTGTTGTATGTCCAAAAAAATATAAACGATTTTAAAACAAATGGTGACTTTCACCAGTATAATACGCGAAATAGAACTAATTTGAGTGTACGAACAACCAGGCTCCAAAAGATAAACCACTCCTTATATGGAAATTGTATTCGTTTTTACAACAAACTCCCAAGCGAAATTAGAGAATTATCACTAAATAAATTCAAAGCCCTTGTTAAACGAAAATTAATCAACAAAGCCTTTTATAAATTTGAGGACTACTTAAATGATCCTAATCCTTGGGATTGAATTGCTCCAGTTCAAACAATTTGTATGACAATACTTGGCGATTAAAAAGAGTGGCGGAAAGTTTCTTGCCAGTTCTTCTTACCCGCTCTACGCCCTTGACTTGCGAACTGGTAGTAAATGTAAATTTATGATTAATTTAACTTGACGATTCAAAAGTGTACTTGGTTGCCCACTTGAATAAAGATATTTTGAGTTTGAGTTTGAGCTTATAGTTATATTTTAGTCTATGTCAAAAGTCTGTTCCGTTTTTTAGTTAGGTGCTCATACAGACATAGGTACATCTGCGGCCGATGTACATTATAGTATGCATATTATAAAAAAAAAGTCCTCCTATGATAAAAAAAATATCACTACCTGAAGGTATTGTAATATCTTCATGAAAAATCAAAATGAAAGGTTAATATTTTTTTATATTTGGAGTGAGTGTATTTGTCATCAGTATTATGAAATCAATTTAGACGAGGCTGTATCATTTTCTTTTACTTTAATGTTTCACTGCATCCAGGCGGTGGCACCTTCTTGGGATTTATATAACTTTAAATGCTATATGATTTCTATAAAAACAAAAAGTATCGATTCCAAAAAGCATTTGGTACAAAAGTATCGATATCCTGACGTATCGTATCGATATCCTGACGGATCGTATCGATATATGTTGCGTATCCCTACTTAGAAGTTAGAACTTACGAAAGTGAAACTATACGTAGAAA